ATTTGAAGTCATTACTTATAGAGGTCGTCTCATTGGCCTACTCTGTACATAGAAATCTAAAGAAATTTAAAATAAATTATAAAAAACGTAAAAGCTGTTTATGTGCAATTTTTTCAAATCTCTTACCCCAAAAAACAAGTACAGTAAACCAAACCTATAGCTACGACACTCAAATGCTCATAAATAGGAATTTACATTAACAGATGTTTATGCCCAATTCACAAAACAGCGTCTACCAGTCCTCCTAAATAAGCAAGAATATGTCAAATATACCGATCTTGACTCTATACATATAAAGAGATTATCCTATATGAGGTTCAGGATATTGGGATTATCCCGAGGCCAATATAATATATCTGCCCGAGGGCCGTAGGTCCCGAGGGTAGATATATTATATTGGCCAAGGGATAATCCAAATATCCTGAACCGACTATAGGATGATCTGTTTATCCCATACCAATCACATTGTTCAATTTGCCAAAGTTCAGAAACTTTGCAACCAACCGTGGAATATTCTTAAAATATTCATGTCCAGTTTTGTATTCCTGTTTCTTTCCTATTCAAATCTTTGATTATTAACGCCGGTACACTGCTCCTTCCCTTCTTTAAAGCATCAAACAGGTCGAGATTGTCTGCGTTTTTCTCCATTGTCGTTTACAGTATGCGAACGTTACAAAAAAGAACCAATACGGGAACAGCGATTATGACGTAGCGGGCAGATATAGTACGAGGGGTGATCCAAAAGTCTTGGACGCCCTGCTCTAATTTTGTTGGTTTTTGATAAAATTACTTTAAACTTTCCAATAATAAAGACCAACAACCTAACTACTTTGTGTATAAATTTCATGGATAAATGACATGTTTGATGTAGTTTTCTAGACAGTTTTTAATATGGGGACCCTGCCACCCGGAACGGTATTCACACATGACAACTTTCAGCCTTAAATGTTGCCGCCATTTGACTTGTTTCGCAAGTCTTGACCACTGTCTTTCTTTGAAATGTGAATGTTAAACCATGTTAGTTTACTTCCTTTCTTACTAGGCAACGAATTAATTGTGTTTTAATTATAATGTCACATATGACAATGATCATATATGTCAAATTCTAAGAAAATGACATCAGACAAGCAACCCTCATTCTGGTATCATTTTTGCTCCAAAATGGCTGCTGAAATGCAGAACATGAAAGAAATCAAAGAAGAACAAAGAATACTACAAGATATTTCCACTATTATTGACCTTTAGCAGCTACCATATGCACAATACAGTCTAGATATGGCTCCGTGTGATTTTCTTTCTTTTCTCTAAGTTGAAAGGAGGGTTGAAAGAAAATGTTTTTTTACTCATTTGATGAGGTTTAGAGTGGCACTCCAGCAGCATTTGTATCACATAAGCAATGGCGGTTTCATAAATGTCTTCCATTCATAGGTAAAGCGGTATGAAAGATGGGTTCAAATTCGTGGAAAATATGTTGAAAAGTAGGTCTTAATATGTGAAGATGATGATGGCAGATGACACTCAGATTGACAATCGAAAATTCTCTCATATAATGACTGGTGTTAGGTTGTGCACCCGCACCTAAAGTATTTGCCATATTATAACAGTTGTGACGTGATTTGCTATATTTAAATACCGTTCCGGGTGGCAGGGACCCAGTGTTAAAAAATCTTTACCAAAAAGCCAAAATATATTATTTTCTATTGAAACTTATACACAAAGTGGTTAAGATGTAGATCTTTATTATCTGAAAGTTTCGTGCAGTTATATTAGAAAATAGCAAAGTAAGAGCGGGGTGTCCAAGACTTTTGGATCACCCCTCGTATATCTGTCCGCTCGGAGCGGGACGTAAAGCTATATCTGCCCGCTGATGAAAAGCTTTTACAAACCGGCTTTATGTACCCGTAACACGTCCAAGTATGGGATAAATGTATATATGCTAATGTAGTTAGTTTATATTCTTGTGCATGTCTCAATATACTCACATGCTGCATATTACTTATCTCAAAATATGCAGAAATACTCATGAAAAGTGGCATATATGCAGATCATATGCAAATATAATCAGTTTTAATTTTTAAATATATCTAGTATACTCAACTGCTTATATTTGTCTATCCCAAATAAGCAGGTATATGCAGTTTCAGCGCTGCATATAATCACAAGTAAACAGCAAATATGCAAAGTATGTCTGAATATAAGCAAATATACTCAGTGACAGTACCCGTATATGCAGTCAGTATTCTCCGTGAATGTTTGTTATATGCAGCTGCATATATGTGTGTTCCATATATGCAGTTATTGTCTGCGTTCTGTCAGTGATGATTACTGGTTATAACATGCAATTTGAAGCAAATAACCACTAGAATTGCTCGTTATTTGCAAGCAATATTCGTTATTTTATACAGTGTACTATATAGCCACGAGAAAGTGTTGAAATATGCATTTTTGTTCGTTCTTTAATAGTGGATAAAAACAGATATAACATTTTTCAAGTGTCCGGCGGGGCTGGCCTTTTATATCTTTTTCAATTTAGTTTTAGAGATAGTGGGTAAAAAGTGGCGTGTAACCGCTGCTATTATGTTCTTTAATGGGTTCGCTGTTGGTCAAATGATACTAGGAGGAATAGGATATGGAGTAAGAACTTGGCGAGGTGTACAGTTGGCTTCATCTTGTCCTATGGCGATATTCCTCGTTTTTATGGGGTAAGTGCTGTACCTATTGTTTAAGGTAGTTCCGTAATGGTCTTCAGGACTGTCAATAGATGGCATACAATTTAGTGGGTTTAATAGCATACTTTAACATGTAAAAATTGCTCTAAAAATCTCCCAAGATAAATGTTATTGAAATATCTCAAACCTTATGATTTTGAATCTTGAAACATGTTTGTAAATAATAATGAAGGAAGATTTGACATTTGTTTGATAAATGTAGTGAAATTGAAGTTTGAAAACAGCAATATTTACACACAAACCAATGGGCCAGATGTGAACAACAACCTAGTAGTTAACTGCCATCTATGCGAATCCTTGCTCCCATTAGATCGGAATATTTTGATTTTAACTATGTATCCTATTATATGTATAAATACCAGTATAAGACGTCAAAAATATTTTATTTATATTTAGTCGCACGATATCAATTCCCCCTGAAACGTTTTGTTGCTAGAATCACCTAATTCCGATCACTTGGATCAACAATTTTAAGTTGCACTTCCAGTTAATATTGAAGCCTCTATTCCTAGAAGGGCGAAAGGGTATTGCACTCTATATAATAAAATCAAAGATGAATATTTCACAACCAGTCTGTTATTTATACAAAAAATGAATTCTAAATTAAATAGTATTTCTTTTATTTGATTAGCATATTTCCTGAATCACCACGCTGGCTTTTTAGTAAAGGACGAGTCAAAGATGGAATAAAGGTCGTTGAGACTATGGCGAAAATAAATGGAGTTAAACTAAAAAAATCACTGGAACAAGAGGTAAATATATCATTACACATATTGAAGTATGTTTAGAGGACGCAGAGCCCTGAAATAGCATCGGGGAACATGAAGCAAGATAGAGATCAAAAGGTGATTTCAGCCAATGTACCTCCTAAAATATATTTTATATTTTGAAGAGTTTGCACATTCCTTGTAATTTTATAGCCGTCTCAAATTGAATAATTTTCATAATTTGTTACAAACAAAAATGGCTACAAAACATTTTACACCAGTTATAACAAAAACAAAAAAACCAAATCCCAAACCATAATCCAATATGAAAAGAAACCATGTCTTATACCCTCTCCCCTACAATTCAAGTTCCAATATCCCGAGACCCTAACACCAATGGACAAACATCTAGTCTCAAATGATGTGGGACAGACAAAACCAATCTCGTCGATATTATCAAAGGATCAACATCCATTTGGTCTGTTTCAGTTATATACTCTTTGCCATTGTAGATGTCACTGTTAGACATAAAGGTGGATCCTCTTGAAGATGACGTCACTGAGAAGCCAGAGCACCAGGTTCATGAGCCAAAATTGACAGATCTGTTTTTGACAAAGTATTTACGACGCAGTACATTGTTTTTTTCCTTTGTATGGTAAGTTGTGTTTGACGAATCTACTAAGTGCCCCAGTCACATTTGGTCTACAGCAACCGTACAACGGCCGTAGCTTCCCAAAGTGGAGAGAATTATGCGACATTAAAAATAGGTATTACGACTACGATGTACATTTTCTATATCGATTTTGTGAGGCTACGCCCGCCATGCGACCGACGTAAAACAAATGGGAGTGAGGCTTAAGTTCAATTATTGATGAAATATTCTTGATCGAATTGAATATTTATCTCATCTCAACTTCGCATATGTCTTTGTATTACTTCAGGATTGCAACTGCGTTTGTGTACTACGGTCTAAGTTTTAATACTGGAAATATCGGTGGCGACCCCTATATAAATCAAATCATTTCTGGCTGCATGGACATATTGGGTAATATTCTGGTAATATTCATAACCATGAAGATTGGTAGGAGGTTACCAATGGTGGGCTTCTTGTTCGTGGCAAGTGTTGCGCTTCTCTTGATCAGCGCTGTACCAAACGATCGTAAATGTAAGTATACGTTATACCTCATTCTACTTCTTGATGCATGTCTGTGTCAGGCCCGTGGCTAATTTTTGTAAGGGGGTTGGTTTTAAGTCCAGAAGGGATTCATACTGTGCTTATGCATTAGTGTTCGACATTCATGACCCATTATATTGCTATGCCACCATGTGCTCATGTCGTATGTTATGGATACAACCATAGACTTCAGGTCCGATACAACGTTGCTCATCAAACTTTAGAAATTATCAACAATTTTACTTTTGATAATTGCTATCACAAAAATTCATAAAAAATAACATGCGCATCTACCATAACTTGATGACAAAATTTGTGTGAACATTCCACTTTAACTGTTAACATCGAGTTTTCTATCAGCTTTAGAATACGTGATTATTGCTTTTGCCATGATTGGAAAGCTGGCCATATCCGGTGCCTTAAACATTGTGTGGATTTACACCCCAGAGGCATACCCTACATTTCTCAGGGCATACGCAACTGGAACTGGCTCTGCTGTGGCAAGGATCGGATCAGCAATTGCTCCATATGTACTTCTTCTCGTAAGTAAAATAACGTTAACGACTGTATCCTTTATAAAATATACCTGGTACAGAGTATATGCTGATGTACATCGTATTGTGTTGAATTGGTATTTGCCCCATTACTATTTGAATACAATTTTGGTTATCTACTACACCATGTATTTCAACAATTCGATTCACTCGTTTACTACGTTGTCATAATGTTTCAGTTTTAATAACAGAAAAACTCCAAATCATCCTGTTTGTGCAATGTCTTGCCTAGTGCTCGGCTGCTTCATGGCCCATGTGCTTTTTATATTTTTGTTCAGGGAGGTGCGACCAATAAGAGTGTTCCAATGATATTGTTTGGTGCTGTGTCCGCTTTAGCTTGTGGGGCTACACTTTGGCTACCAGAAACACGTGATAGTGATCTGTTAGAAACGATAGACGATGCAGAAACGCTAAACTCGCAACAGTACAGAAAGATGCACTTCAGAGGATGCTGGTAAATATATGATATTATATTTTATCTATTAAATGATTTCATCTTTACTTTCATTCCATCAATAACAAAAATTAAACTTCGTCATAACTCTAGCAACCGGAAGTCAAAAATTGGACTCTTGTTTCCAAGATTTTATAGGGAAATGGCTAGTGTAGCCTATAGTCTTATTTGTTTATTTTTGTATATTTTTAGCAAAAGAACCACAACTCAATCAAAACCGTTGTAAATATTCACAAATAAAAAAAAATGCACAACAGAGTAAACCTAGTGTAATACATAGCCATTGGTAAGTAAAACAGCACATCAAAAATCTAGAAAAATCCAAGCAGTGAAATACCTTAAAATCACCATTTATACCCCCTGGGGAATTTTTGTAAGAGGTTACTATGATAAGCAGTAATAACTTCTGATGTATAACTCCAATCACAATAAAATCTTCAGGGATCATACACCTATATATAGTTAGTTGCAGTCACAGCAAGTATGATATTAATTGGTCAATTGGTTACCATAGCAACACAATTTTATTGCTCAAAATCTTTAATATTTCAGGTAAATCCGAAACTTCCTATAATAACAGATGTTGCCATTTCTCTTCAAATCATTTGGAAATGAACATTAAGTTACCCTAAAAACATATTTGGGGAATATGTAATAAGATAGCATGATTAATGGTAGAGTCTGAGACCATAAAATAGTTCAGATACAAGAGCCTAAGTTGGTTCAGCCTCCAGAGTTTATATATGGTACAGCCTCCAGGGTATAAGACGAGTGCAGTCTCAAGAATCTAATATGGTACAGCCTCTAGAGTGAAATATGTATTTTGCATTCAGAGTCAAAGATGATACAACATTCAAAGATCTATGATTGCTATAGCATTCAGAGCCTATGATGACTACAACCTCCATGAGTCTAAGATGGTACAGCCTGTAGACCCTTAGATGGTACAGCCTCTGGTTATAACATAGGATCAGTCTCCAGAGTTTAAGATGGTACAGCCTTCAGAGGCTATGATTGCTACACAGCCTTAATGGGAAGATATAGTTCTAAAATTGGTACAACCTCCTGAGTATAATATATATTGAACCTCCAGAGACTAATATGGTGTCGCTTCAGAGTATAATATGGATTCAGCCTCTCGAGTCAAAGATGGTACAGCCACCAGAGTCTATGATTTCTATGAAAATCAGAGTCTAAGATCGGAAAAGCCTCAAAGAGTCTTAAGATAGTATAGCCTGCGAGGATCTGAGATAGTATAGTCGCTAAGAGTCTAACATGGTATAGCCTCAAGAGTCCAAGATGATACACCCACCAGCGTATAATATGGATTCAGCCGCTAGAGCCAATGATAATACAGCCACAGTAGACTATGATGGTGTAGCTTCCAAGAGTCTATGATGGTATAGCCTCCAGAATACAATGGATGGATACAGCCTCCAAGAGTTTAGGAATGGGGTAGCCTCCAGAGTCTATAATGGGTAAAGCCTCGGTGTCAAAGATGGTATAGCCTCCAGAGCATTCCAGAGTTCTGGAAACAGTCTTCAGGAGAGATGGTAAGATTGGTATAGCCTTACAGAGTCTAATTTGGTACTGCTTCTAGAGACTAAGATGACAAGAATCACCATTTCTTCACATATTAACACCAATCTGTGATTAATAAATGGGTCCCAGATGCCTCTAGCGTACAATGGAAACATCCTCCAAAGTCTACAATGGGTACAGCATCCATGATCTAAGATTGATACAGCCTACAAAGTTTAATTTGGTCCATCATCTAGAGTCTAAGATGTCAAGAATCACCAATTTGTCACATGTAACACCAATCTGTGATTAATAAATGGATCTCAGATGGTACAGCCTCTAGTGACTTGAAGGGTTTAGCCTCTAGTGTTTAATGGGTGCATCCTCCAAAGTCTACAATGGGTACATCATCCAAAATCTAAGACTTATGCAGCCTACAGAGTCTAAGTTGGTACATCTTCTAGACTCTTGAGATGTTAAGAATCACAATTTTGTCACATATAACACAAATTCGTGTTTAATAAATGGATCGGGAAATGCTTGGACAGATGGGCGGACAAACAGAGCAGTACGAGGGTTGTCCCAGAAGTAATGCACTATATGCTCTAACTTTCATTAATATTCTTCAATTCAGCTGAAATTTTGTGTATATAACAATTGAAGTTTTATCTATTATATCCTGAAGTTTCAGCATCCAACATTAATATTAAGTTTTAATATGGTTGCTATAACAACATGGGGGTAGGGGTGGGCGGGGCAGGTACCAATTTTTCTATTTATGAAATGATCTAAAGTGTTATTTCATTAATATTTCTTTCCTTTAAATGGTCAAAAAGTTTGGGAAATTGTTAAAGTTATTCAGCATGATGTTAACCAAGTACCAATAATGACATTTAGCACTGTGATGTCATAATACCACATTTCAATAGTCACAAATTCAAATACAGTCACAGTCAAGAAATTGCAAAAATGGCTGCAATTCTCACCAGAAAACAGAAGGCATTGCGTTTGGTGGCCTAATTTCATACTTCACTTGGACTCACAGCCACGCAAAACAATGCTACCATGAAGAAAGTATATAAAGAGTATATACCAAATAGAACTACAATTATGGGGTGGCAGAAGAGATTTAAAAGAGACGATTTGACCCTGTATGACAACTCCAAACATGGGAGGCAAAAACTCCACAAGTCACAGTGGAAGAAATTGCCGAGAGTGTTTGACCTGACAGGCATCAAAAGTACATAACATGCAAATGGCAATATTTTGAGAAAATGTGAAATGGGACACTGTGCAATATACATGTACATCCATTAAATCTAGGATGTGCTCATAGTAATTTAGTATCTTAAAATGTATTTTTGAGCATACTTCTTATAGCTACATCAAATGGTCTTCGTTGATTAATTATTTCATATTTTCAATTTTTTATTCCTTTTGACGTGACTGTATAACCTGCCCCGCCCTACCCAAACTCACCAACTTGATTTATCATAACATCAATATAGTTTTATCAGTCAACATGAAAATTTTTAGAATAATCAAAATGTCCCTAAGGAACATTTACTGAAAATTTCATGGAAAAATATCAATTATTGATAAAGTTAGAGCATATAGTGCATTACTTCTGGGACAACCCTCGTATTTCAACAAACTAAATTATAAGTTGTGTTACCATAGCAAATGCACGTCAATATTATCCAAACTTGTATTTGTTAAAAAAGATCATACACTAAAACTGTTCTTAAGGATGAATGTAATAAACAATTTAGGTATAAGGATTGCCTGAAATGACCTCTACCAAATATTTACATGCATTATGTTGTGTTTCTACGTAACCAATTGACAAAACATATTTAGACTAGATAAGATAAAAACATATGTATCAATGACCCTTGTAAGTGTTATTCTGTCAACATGATATTATTTGGAAATGTAATAACATAATAACAAAAAGTGCCACGCCCACTGTGGTAAATCGAGCAGTAGTTGAAAATGAGGTTCAAACATGAATAGGGTCCAAAGCCAAATACGTCAAACAATTCATATATTCATCATGTTATCTTGTTGTAAACTCCTTCAATATGCATTTAGCTCAACTTTGCATTCATTTTTAAAAATTAAAAATGACAAGCTACTATCTGTTTGTAGGGAAACAGTGGACTTATCCTTAATATTTACAATATTTTGCTATCAAATCGACCAATCAAGATCAAACTTTTCATGACAACTACTATACAGTATATGGTTGCATGATTCCTGAAAATTTTAATGTGATTGGAGGAATATAACAGTAAATATAAATCATGACCCCCTCATAAAATAAGACCGGGGGGAGTACAAATAGTGAGTTTTACATACTTTCCACTACTTAAATTTTTCTAGATTTTTGATATGTCTTTTAACTCATCAATATGCATTTGTTGCACTAGGTTTTATAAGTAGTGCAATTTTTTCATTTATTTTTGATGTTTTTACTGGAGTACACAGGAAGTGAAGAAGGGCAGGTAGATGCCTGAATGTATCTGCATTCACCTACATAGGGCCTCAATACAAAAGACAGCACCCCCCCCTCTCAGTAGACAAATTGACAATCGTTTGTTTTGTTGTGCAACTATACAATAATATGAAGTAGACTCATTTTACCTATAGTTAAATAACATCGTTCTGTTAATCACGTTAGTCCAAGTCTATATTTAACATATGGTGGTACCTGTATACAGGGTGGTCCAAAAATGTGACACTCGTATTTCAAAAATAAATATTGATTTTCTTGATGAAAACATGTCATATTATATACCAGTGGATAGGGAATTTATTTATCTTTAATTTGATATATCATAAGTTCAAATTTATTATAATAGAGAGTTTTCGCACGGCGTGAAAGTACAACTTATAACGTATACTTATACTTATAGGTAAACGTACAAGGTGTTTCATAATGTGGACTTTTCGTCAGGAAAGATCTTCTCGGACTATAATAAATAAAGGTCAAAGGGATGCCATTTGTACTTTCTTGAATTGTAGCATGTTTAGTTGATCCAAATGTGTCTAGAATAAAATAGGCTCATATATAGTACAGATGTCATAGACCTATCTCTTCTCAAATTGACTTTTTGGAGATGCTCGTTATGAAACACCCTGTATGTCATTTGTTGAGCTACTGAATGGGTCGTTTCCAGGAATTGCTAGAACCTACTGGTTTGATTGGTGTTTCAAATTGATTGTTAAAGTATGTGATTGGATACTGTTCCTACTCAGCCAATTAATTTTAAAAATGCTTGCGGTCAATTGTTCCACACACATGTAAGTAAAACTTTATACGGAGATCCAACTGTATACGTTTATCGTCTACATATATATACCGTTTTGTAAGTTCATTGAACTTATACTAATCATGATAACTTTGAAATAATCAACTTGTTTATGTAATGACTCACTTTAAGGATCGTGTTTATAATACATTACAACTACTAGGACACGGAAGCAAGCATTTAATTATAATGTGCATAATCTACACGTGTAGATGACAGTGCATTCACAGTCTCTAGTTGATGGAGCTTTTCTATATCGGGAATAGTTATGTTCCATTAAGTACAATTTAAAATTGATTTTAGTAATATGATAGTTCAACATGACCCTTTAAAGTATACGTATACGTATCAGTTGTACTTTCACTTATGTGCGAAATCTCTCTAATATCTGTCAACCAGCGTCCATAATATAAATGACGTCATTTTCATTTCAAAACGGGTTTTCCAAAACTTGCAAAAACAAGTTTTATTGTCAACTTTATTTACATAAACAGACGTTCAATATGTCCACCATTTTGATCAATTGTATGACCCCTCAATTTTGGCCTAAACTGGCCAATAGCATCATTGATATGCTGTTAAAGACAATGAATTTCACTTCTCATTAATTCAATTCTGTTCTTAAGAGACTGAATACATATAAAGGATTCATGGTACACCAATT